GGTCGCCGTCGTGGTGGTGCTGGTGGTTCTACTGGTAATGGTGGTGGTGCTGCTGGTCGTTGTGGTGCTGCTGCTGGTTGCAGTCGTGGTGGTGCTGGTCGTAGTCGTGGTGGTGCTGCTGGTCGCAGTCGTGGTGGTGCTGCTTGTGCTGGTGGTGCTGGTGGTGCTGCTGGTCGTGGTGGTGGTGCTGCTGCTGGTCGTAGTCGTGGTGGTGCTGCTGCTGGTCGCAGTCGTGGTGCTGCTGGTCGCAGTCGTGGTGCTCCTGGTCGTGGTCGTGGTGGTGCTGCGGGTCGCTCTCGTGGTGGTGGTGTTGGTGGTGGTTCTGCTGCGGGTCGCAGTCGAAGCGATGGTGCTGCTGGTCGCCGTTGTGGTGGTGGTGGTACTGCTGACCTCCTCGTGGTGCCCGCTGCCGTGTCGGGGGTGCTCCCGGCGCTCGTCGGAGCCCCCCGGGGCGGCCGTGCTGGCCGCGGCGCCAAGCATCAGGGGCGTGCTGGCAGGCGGCTAGCGGGTGGGCCGGCGGAGTCTGCGAGCAGCACTTCGGCCAGGTCTGGGTCGTCCTCCCCGGCGGCTCCCCCCAAGGCTAGGTAGCCGTCGCCCGTCAGGGTGGCCATGAGCGAGTCCTGGGCCGCGACGCTCAGGAACCCCCACCAGCGGTTGGTGTACGCGAGCTCCGCGGAGCGGCGGAGGAGGGCCGGCGCGGCCCGCGCCTTCTGCTTGGCAAGCAGGCGTACCAGCTGGAGGGAATCGCGGCCCCACCTGCCTCCGACCTCGCAGGAGAGGACCATGAGGCGGCCTGAATGGCCGGTCGTGAGTTCGTGGTACCTGCGTCGTTTGCGCCTTTCGGCCCCAAGTAGCGCGGCGCCGTCGGTGTCGAAGGTGCGCGGCCGGTGCCAGCCGTCCCTGCGGAGGGGGGACACCATGGTGCTGTCGCAGCACAGCGGGACGCCGTTCGGCGAGATGCCGTAGACGACTAGGTCTAATTGTCTGCGGTCCAGCGGGTTGTGGACAACGGCGTTAGTGTCCCGCAGCAGCTGTTGGGGGACAACTCTCCCTCCTGCTTCTCTGGCGACCCTCGCCCAAGCTCGTTCGAGCGGTTTCGCGCGTCTGGCGAGAAGCCCCGTGCGTGGGCACGCGGCTAGGTGGTCTCCCAGCGTGTCCAGCCGGGCCCGGCAGCCTGGGTGGCCGGCTGCCCCGCAGGTGTGCGGGAGGAGCGGCAGCGGGAGCCTGAGGCGCCGGCGCAGGGCTGCCAGGAACCGCGCGGGCTTGAACACGTGCCCCTCGGTGGTGGGTAAGGTGTGAAGCCAGTAGGCGGCCCTCGGTCCTGAGCCTGACCTTAGCATGGCCTGGTTGGCCCTGGTGAGGCTGGGCATGAACACGTTGTCCCTGTAGTGTGTGTTGCGTGCGGAACAAGCGTGGAACTGCCAGCCGTGCTGCCATTCCCCCGGTTCGGCGGCCTCCGAGCGCGGCGGCGCTTCTGGGCGCAGCCCCTGGAGCAGGTCGGTCCAGGAAGGTCTCCGAAAGCCTTCGGTTTCGAGCAGCTGTGCGGCCGCGGCGGCTGCGGCAAGGTTGCCCCTACGGCCGGGCCTGGTGCCGTCGAGGAGGTCCCTGATCGCTGCAGCTTCAACGGGGCGCCGTTGGTGGAGCATGTGTAGGGCGTCTGCCCAAGCGCCCCAGTAGGCCGCTGGGGACGTGCGCGCGGCGCTTTGGAGCCCGAGTCCTCCGTGTCGTCCAGGCATTGCTGCCAGTGCGCGCGCCCGTCGCTCTTCGTCTTGCGACATCGCGGGGTCCCCGAGGAGGCGGCGCAGGGTGGCCCACATGTCGCCGTCGTGGCCTCTCGCGTATTCTGCGATTTCCTCTGGCGGCAGGGTTCGCAGCAGGTGGTTGGCCCGCGGGGAGGCGCAAAGGAGGAGGAGGAGCCAAGCGCACTGTAGGTCGGGCAGGTGCGCCAGTTCGTCCAGGAGTCTCCTCTCTTCCTGTAGTCTGCTCTCCAGGTGTGCGGCGACGAATTCTGGGGTGCCTAGGGGGGTGCCAAGGATCTTGATTCCTCGGTCGGGTGGTGCTCTGTCACCCCTCCAGACGTCTTGCCCCAGCTCGCCAATTCCGGGCGGCGCTGCGCCTCCGCCCCTGCTGTAGGCCCGGCACTTGCCAAGGTGGCAATCCACGTTTGCGTGGAGGTGAATTGCTCCGGTGGTGGTGTCGAAAGCGGCTCTGGCCCTGGCCCGGGTGGTCTTGATGTAAACGTCGTCCAAGAAAGCGACTAGGAAGTCCCCTTGCTCTAGGGTCCTGGAGGCGCCCGCCAGCGCTCCGTGCAGGGCAAGAGCGAAGAGGGCTGGGGCCAGCGCGTCCCCCTGCTCCACTCCCTCTCCCTGGTGCACGTCGTGCACAGTCCCCATTTCGTCTTGCCAGAGGTAGGTGGAGTCTTGCCCGTACCACATCTTCACGAAGGGGATTAAGCCGGCCAGCTCTGGGCGAGCAAGGAGCTCCTGGAAGAAGGCCGACCTCGACACATGGTCGAAAGCCCCGACTCCATCGATGCTGACAATCACTGCGTCGTCGTCGTGGTCCAGCACTGACCTCAGCAGCATGGCGGCGCAGTCGGTTCCTGCCCGCGTCGTCAGGGCGAACTGGAAGGGCGCAGTTGCGGCCGCGAACTGCTCGGCGAACTGTTGAGCGAGCGCCCTGGTGACCAGTCGGCGGAAAACGTCGCCGGTGGCGATGCCCCGTACTCCGTTGTCTGGTTTCTGGAGCGCCGTCATCTTGCAGAGGGCTAGAGCGCGGGCAATCGGGGAGGGCACCCGCGCCTCCGCGAGGGCAGCGGCGGCGAATCCAAGCAGGTCCATGGACTCTTCGTGCTCCAGCAGCGGCTTGAGGTGCTCAACGCGGGCCCCCGACGGTCCTGCTGCCGTGCCCTTTTTGGCGGACCGGAGGCAAGCGAGGAATTTGGTCTTGTCGAGTCTCGCTCTGTCGGTTGCGCGGTCGAGGTTGGCGGGTAGTCGGCGGCTCAGGGTAGGCGGTCGGCGGGCCGGGTCCCGCAGCCTGTTTAGTGTCTCCCCGTTGCCGGGCGCAATCGCCGCCGCGGTCAAGACCTGTCTCCCCCGTGACGGGTTGCCGTTTCGGACGTGCGCGCAAGCCTGTTCTCTGCGTCTCTCCTGCTGTTGCTCCTCTGTGGCTGGCCTCGGCGCTGCGCGCGCGCCGGCCGTGGTGTTGGCCTCGTGTAGCAGGGCCAGCCAGTCGCCCTGGCGGAACCGTTGGGCGCGTTCCAGGAGCTCTTGTCGGCCCTCGGCGTCGGTACCCTTGGGCTTGCTTAGCAGGAGCCTCGAGGCGAGGAGGAACAGTGTCCATCCTTGGTGGGTTGTTGCTTGGTTGCCCTGGTCGTGTCCTCGCTTGATCCTCTTCAGGGCCGTGGTGAACGCCATCCGGGTCTCCGCGCGCAGGAAACGTGGCACGTTCTGTAGTGTCGGCACGAATCTCCGGAGCTCTTGTTGGAGGTCGATGCCCCCGAGAGCTGCCCAGGACTCTTCGGTGGGTCCGTTGCTCGGGGCTGGGGCCTGCGCTGGTTCGGCCTCGTGGTCGGTCTCCTCAGTGCTGGAGTTGCTGCCGCCGTCGTTGGCGTCTCCCTCCTCCGCGCCCGTGTTTCCGCCGTCGCTGCCGCTGCTCGGGCCTCCTCCTCCCCCTTCTCCGCCGCCTCGGCCTCTTCTGGCGCCTCTTCCTCGTCTGCTTTCTCTGGCGCCTCTTCCGCTTCTGTCTCTGGGGGCGCCTCTGCCCACCACGGCGGCAGGGCCGTTCGCGTGCTGGTCTCCAGGCAGCTCCGGCTCCTGGGGCGCCTCTGGCGGTGGGAGCGGCGGCGGAGGCGCCGCGTCTGCCCAGAAGCTTGGGTTGCGCAGCTCGTTTGTGCGTGCGTCAACTCCTCGTGCAAGCACGCCGCCGCCGAAGGCTTCGAGGAGGAGGTCTTGCACCAGCGGCTGTATGTAGCCGGTGCTGCTGTGCGCCACTGCCTGGACGACTGGCGCAAAGGATACGTGCCCTGGGCGCTCTCCTCCGTCTGCAGCAAGCACCGCTGGTACTTCCCCGGGCCGAGCGTCGGTGTGCGCCAGCATTTGGACAAAGGGCCCTGTTAGTACAGGTCCTGCAAGCCGCAACGTCTCTACCGTCGGCTGCCACCAGGCATGTGTGAGGCGGTGCTCACTCCACTGCGCCCCTTCGCTTGGGTCTAAAAGCCCGGCGGCTGCGAGCAGCAGGGGCACGTACACTGCGGAGTTGGTGCGTGCCTGGAGGGGCGCTTGCGGTGGGGCCCAGCCGGCGAAAGGGCTGTGTTGTGGCGGCCTCGCGGCGGCTCGCTCTGGCCCTGGCGGAGGGGCTGGTGGCGATGGCTCTGGACCTGGCGGGGCTGGTGGTGGGGCAGAAGGCACTTCTCTGGTCCATGCGTCTGTTTCGCACAAAGCGCACCTCCATTCGCCTTCGGCCGTGCTGGCTTCCGCGGTCCACGTGCCCTGCTCTAGGCACCTCGCGCACATCTGTTGGCCGCTCTGTGGCGCGATCGTGTCGACGGCGCAGCGCGCCCCGCAGCGTGGGCAAAGCCATGACTCAAGCCACTGCGTGATCATCCCGTTGGTGTCGCGTGCAGCAATCTCCGGGGACCATTCCATGCGGCGGTCTGGCACTTCGGGGAATTCGGGCGGTGGGCCGAGGCGTCGGCAGCAGAGCGCTCGGAGCAGCGGTGGCTCCCGTGGTGGTGGTTCTTCGCCTCGCGCGTAGCTTCGAAACCCATTGTAATCTGGGACGGCCTGGGCGCTGGTGTCGTGGGCCGGGGGCGGCGGTCGGTCTATGTCCACGCCCTGCGCGGCGCACCATGCCCGTAACTCGGCGGTGGTCGGGAGTCTGGCTCGGCACTGCGGGCAAGTGGTGGCTTCGCCAAGGTGGCGGGCCAAGTCGGCGCGGCAGCCCAAGTGGAAGTGGGCGCCACAGCATGCCTCCTGTGTTGGTGTGTCCCTGCCCGCCCCATGGTGCGGGATCACTTCCTGGCAGACGATGCAGATGTTGGCGTCTTCTGCCGGCGCTGGTGATCGGTCTGGCTCCTCCCGCGCTGTTGCTGCCGCTTCTGCTGCCTCGCCCTGCCTGTCGCCGTGCGGGGCGAATAAGCCCGCAAAATTCCATCCGCCTTCTGGCGCCCTCCCGAAGACGGCGCCAAAGTGGTCCGGCACGGCTGGCGCGCCAAGCTGAAACCCTGCGGCTTGTACCCGGAGCAGAACACGTGGCGGGGTCTCTTCCTGCGACGGGATTGGCGCCGCGCCGCCGGGTGCGTGCTCTGGCGACTCTGGTGTTGACGTCGTGTGTCTCGGGCGCGGTGTTCGGGGGCTGTCCCCGGGTGCGTCTGGAGGTCCTGGGTGGCTGGCCTCGCCCACTCGAACGCCTCGGTAACCCCATCGCGCGTCGCGGCGGCTTTTGGAGGGGTTGCGCTGGTGCTGCTGCTCGTGGTGGTGCACGTCGTGGTGGTCTTGGTCGCTGCGTTGTGCTGTGCGCTGGTGTTCTTGCGCGTGGTGCTGGTCGCAGTCGTGGACGTTGTTGCCGCTGCGGTGCTCCTCGTCGCGCTGGTGTTGCTGCGCGTGGTGTTGGTGGTCGCGGTGGTCGCTCTGCTGGTGCAAGATGCTTTCTGCTGCTTCTCCTGCTGCGGCCGCCCGTTTGCGCGCGGCTCTGGTGGGAGGGCTTGCCCTCGTCGCCTTTGCGCGCCAGGTAGAAGCGGTGGCTCCCGTTTCTGGGAGCTGCGGGGCTGCCGGTGTGAGCCAGGGTGGCAGGAGGGCATTGGCGGTAGCTGCAGTTCTGCGTTGCCCTTGTCGGCCCGGCGCGGGCAGGACGTGGTGGTAGCATCGTGGGCTGCCACTGGACGGAAGTGGCATCCTCGTGTTGGCAACGCTCTGCGGTCCCCTTGCTGGCGTTGGCTCGGCAGCGTTCCTCTTCCGCCGGCGGGCGCGTTGGCGTGCGCTCGGCTGCAGGGTCGGGCTGTCCGTCTCCAGCGTCCCCACCCCAGCCTGCCTCATGACGGCCGTTGCGCCCTCGTTTGTGTAGTCCGGTCTCGTGTTGGGCCCGAGGGGCGCGCGCAGGAGCTTTTGGATGCAGTCTCGCGTGCTTGGTGTGGATGAGTCGTGGTCGGTGGTGTTGTGAGCTTGGTAGTCGGGCTGCGTGGTGGTTCGCTCTTCGATTTTTACGCTGCCCCGCGCCGCGTGCCGCCTCAGGTGGAACCGGTCCTCGAGGTAGGTCTGTCGCCTGGAGAAAGATTCCTGCTGCCGCATGGTCTCGGCATGTTCGTGGTAGGCGTGTGCCTCTCTGTTCGCTCTCTCCCTCTTCTCGGTGCGGCGTCTGGAACGACGGTGGTTCCTCGTGGCGCACCGAGTGGGCAAAGGCGAATACCCAGCGCTGCGGTCGACCGGTGGGTCTGCGAGTCTGGGTCGGCTGTCTGTGTCTTCGGGCGGCGGGGCAGGTGTGAGGCTGTGCTCGCCTTGAGCCAGGTGGCGGATGGGGTTCAAGCGGAGGGGGTCGGGGGCAAGTCGTGTCGTTGGGTGGTCGGTCGTAGTCGTGGTCGTGGTTGTCTTTGTCAGCTCGCGGCCTGGAAGGGCCCCTCTCCTGACCGAGTTTTTCGCTCCGCGCCCGCTGTGGTAACGAGGTCTCGGCGGGCTCGTCCTTCGCCTCCCGCCTCCCTGCGCTCGTCTCCTTCGCCCAGCCAGCGTCCAGAGGCCTGGTGGTGGGCCTGGGTCCGGTGGGCGCCCCCCTTCGCCTGGAGCACTCCCCATGCTCCGAGCGTCGGCGCACGGACCCCGTGGCCCCCTGGAGGGCGCCATGCCTGCGCCCCGCGTGCGCCCCTCGCGCGCGCCGGCCGCTTGGCTTGGCTTGGATTATCGCTTGAGCCTTCGGCTTGAGCCGGGCGTCTGTTCAGGGCGCCCTCTGGAATATTCGGAACAGCGGTCTGTTAGAGGCGTTTTGTGGGCCATGCCAGCAAGGTGGCGTTGGAGACGCCCTTGCTCTTGTCGTGGGCTTGGTCCTGCAAGCCCAGCTGCGCCACGCGCAGGGCCTCCACACCTGGTGGGCCCTCGCGGACGGGAAGTGGGCTTTTGATGTGGCGTCGCGCCATGCCATGTTGTTAGGTGTCTTCCAGGCCGGCGTGCGTGGGCCGGATTGGCTAATCCTAGACGACGTAATGGCGCAGGATCACCAGTGCCTCTGCTTGCATGGGCTGCTTAGCTCGGTTTTCATGCTGCTACGTGGCACTGCCCAGGGCAGGTGTTTTTCCGTGCATGTTTTCAACGCCCAGCTCCGCGGGCTCGCGGATGGCTTAGCGGACGTGCTCCCACAGGGCTGTAGCACGATCGTTCCGCCATTCGCCCGGGCAGCTTTGCTCGACGCGGTGGAAGACGCGCCGCCAGTGCACTGCGCCGCCCCGCCGCGGGGGGAGCTCCAGCTCGACGGTGTCGTGAGGGAGGCGTCGCGTCTGGCAGCGGCGTATATGACGCCGTGGCCGCGGGCGAGGCACTTCCTGAGCGGGGCCCTGAGTGAGCTGTCGTCGCTGGCCGATCGCATTGACGTGGTGGAGCGTTCAGGGTCTCACCACTTAGCCTCCCCGCAGTTTGTAGATGACATCGCAACGCCTTGCCCGTCAGAGGGGGCCGTGAGGGCAGTGTTGTCCGAGGAGGAATGGTCAGCCTGTAGCCGCTACGCTCGGCGCGTAAAGGGGCGCTTCAATTACGAGAAGGGTAAGACGGCGGCCCTGCCCCTCCTGGGTGCCCCCCCGCCTCTTTCTGCAGGGGCCCCAGTTGTGCTCACTAGGTGTCTCCTAGGCGTCCTAGTGGGCGCTGACCTCACCTTTCAGCTGCTGCTCCAAGAGACACTTGCGAGAGGCAGGAGCCTTTTTGAAGATTTACTGCAGGCGGCCGAGCGCGGTGGCTTCTCTGTCCCGGTCACCGCAGCGCAAGTCCCCCCGCGCGTGGAGTCGGTTATCGTTTACGCCTCTCCACTGCTGGCACTAGCCGCAGGGGCTGAAGCATCGCTGAACCGCCTCCAGGTTGAGTGGGGCCGCAAACTCCTCGGCTGCCACATGGGCCCGCCTGTCCGTCACAGTGAGGTAGTGGCCCAATGCGGTTGGCCGCTGAGGCTGGGCACGAAGTTTTTGGAGCGTGCCTTGATGACGCAAGCCAGGCTCGCCGTTCTCCCGTTGGACCACCCGGCGTCCTGGGCCTGGCAGGCGTCACGGAACATGCACGTCCCATCCTGGGACACCGCTGTGACTGCACTCGCAGGGCGCCTTCCGTCGCCGCCGGCGATGTTGGATAGGCACCCAGCTTGTGTCGGGGAGCAGCTGGAGGCTGCGAGATGTCATCCCGAGCGGCGGAGACCCCTCTTAGGGTGGTTTCGCTGGCAGGTAGTCCGCCCGGCGTTGCTCGAGTACGACCAGCATGCGTTCAGAAAGGCAGCATCGGTAGTATTTCCTTCGCTGCAGCGCTCGTTTGCTGAGCTCTGCCCGGGGCCGTTTCCCCCGGTCTGGAATCTTCTGGGGTGGGAGGCGTCCCCATATTTTTGGAAGCACTACCGGGTGTGGGCGGTCACGCGTATGACGGGTTGCTGGCCCCTTTCTGTGCTTGGCCAGGGAGAGCTACCGGCCACCCTCCCTCGGTGCGGTGCGTGCGGTGCGGTGGACGTGGGCGTTGACCATCCCCTCGTGACGTGCCGGGCCACGGCAGTGCACCAGGACCTGCTGGCAAGAGGCGGCCCCCACATCCAAGACGTTGCCCCAGAATTGGCCCTGCAGGTCCTCTTCTGCGAGGGTCTTCCATCGCTCCATCGCGTGCCCGTGCAGGACACGTCAGTTCTGTTGGAACTGCAGTGATGCAAGCTGCTTGGCCGGCCCCGCCCCCGCCTCCCCCGCCGCCTCCTCCGCCGCCCCCGCCTCGCCGTCTCCGCCGTTTTCGGAGGGAGCTGGTGACTTGTGATCGTCGTCGTCGTCATGCCATTTTTCCCTGGCTGGTCTGACGGGACCTGCCCGGTCCGCCCTGCAGACCACAGGGCCGATTCGGGCACGAGCGGGCCGTGCCATAGCTGTGCCTCCTCTGCCCACCCGCCTCGCGCGACTCCTCCGTTTTCGGAGGGATCTGGCGGCTTGCGATTCGCCCTGGCGTTTGGCCAGCCCCCCGCAGAGGCGCGTCGCACGATGAGTACTTTACGGGAAGGGGCCGCAAGGGCCAAGCCCCGCCCGGCTGTCCGTCCGCCTCGTGTCCAACATGGCGGGGGCGGGGAGCGGTTTTCTCGCGGTTTCCGCGCTGTCCACTGTGAGCCGGTGGGGAGAGCGGCGTTCCCCCCCCCCCCCCCCCTCCACCCCTCCTTGCCCCGGTGAGGACCTGCGCTGTCCGCCCAGGTCGGGCGGGGAGGGCAGCTGGAGGTGTTGCAGATGTGGGGGCACGATGGGGTGTGAGAGACCACCACCTGGCGGCGTCCATATCTTCCCTCGGAGCGGCTGCTTGCGGCAGCTGTGAGGGGCGGCGCGCCCGGGGCCGGGCGGCGGGCGTCCGGCGTGCGCCCGGCGCGGGACCCGGTGGTGTCGTATGAACGCGAAACGAAACGGAGGCTTTTTCCCAACCATCCTGTGGTGTTGGGTCCTCGTTTTGAAAAGACGGTGCCCCGAGTTCCTCTCCTCTTCTCTCCTCCTCTTCCCCCTCCTCCCTCCTCCCATCATCATCATCATCATCATCATGATCATCATCATCATTATCATCATCATCATCATCATGATCATCATCATCATCATCATCATCATCCTCATCATCATCCTCATCATCATCATCATAATCATCTTCATCATCATCATCATCATCATCATCACCATCACCATCATCATCATCATCATCATCCTCATCCTCATCATCATCATCATAATCATCATTATCATCATTATCATCATTATCATCATCATCATCATCATCACCATCATCATCACCATCATCATCATCATCATCATCATCACCATCATCATCTTCATCATCCTCATCATCATCATCATCGTCATCATCATCATCGTCATCATCATCATCATCATCATCTTCATCATCGTCATCACCCACCATCATCGTCATCATCACCATCATCGTCACACTTCTCACACGTTTCGTGGCCCCATAGGGAGCTCCACCGACGGCCCCAGTGCTGCCGCCCGCATGCGCTAGCCACACCCAATTCGGCATACCCCTCACACGTTTCGTGGCCCCATAGGGAGCTCCACCGAAGGCCCCAGTGCTGCCGCCCGCATGCGCATGCGTCAGCCGCACCCAGTTCGGCACACCCCTCACACGTTTCGTGGCCCCATAGGGAGCTCCACCGAAGGCCCCAGTGCCGCCGCCCGCATGTGTCAGCCACACCCAATTCGGCACACCCCTCACACGTTTCGTGGCCCCATAGGGAGCTCCACCGAAGGCCCCAGTGCTGCCGCCCGCATGCGTCAGCCACACCCAATTCGACACACCCCTCACACGTTTCGTGGCCCCATAGGGAGCTCCACCGAAGGCCCCAGTGCTGCCGCCCGCATGCGTCAGCCACACCCAATTCGGCACACCCCTCACACGTTTCGTGGCCCCATAGGGAGCTCCACCGAAGGCCCCAGTGCTGCCGCCCGCATGCGTCAGCACACCCAATTCGGCACACCCCTCACACGTTTCGTGGCCCCATAGGGAGCTCCACCGAAGGCCCCAGTGCTGCCGCCCGCATGCGTCAGCCACACCCAATTCGGCACACCCCTCACGTTTCGTGGCCCCATAGGGAGCTCCACCGAAGGCCCCAGTGCTGCCGCCCGCATGCGTCAGCCACACCCAATTCGGCACACCCCTCACACGTTTCGTGGCCCCATAGGGAGCTCCACCGAAGGCCCCAGTGCTGCCGCCCGCATGCGTCAGCCACACCCAATTCGGCACACCCCTCACACGTTTCGTGGCCCCATAGGGAGCTCCACCGAAGGCCCCAGTGCCGCCGCCCGCATGCGTCAGCCACACCCAATTCGACACACCCCTCACACGTTTCGTGGCCCCATAGGGAGCCCTTCCGAAGGCCCCAGTGCTGCCGCCCGCATGCGTCAGCCACACCCAATTCGGCACACCCCTCACACGTTTCGTGGCCCCATAGGGAGCTCCACCGAAGGCCCAGTGCCGCCGCCCGCATGCGTCAGCCACACCCAATTCGGCACACCCCTCACACGCTTTCGTGGCCCCATAGGGAGCTCCACCGAAGGCCCCAGTGCGCGCAGTCTCACACGCGTCCATGCACCGCCCGCAAGCTTCGCAGTTTCGTGCCCACCCGAAGGCCCCACGTCAGCCACACGCGTTTCGTGGCCCCATAGGGAGCTCCACCGAAGGCCCCAGTGCTGCCGCCCGCATGCGTCAGCCACACCCAATTCGGCACACCCCTCACACGCTTTCGTGGCCCCATAGGGAGCTCCACCGAAGGCCCCAGTGCGGCCGCCCGCATGCGTCAGCCACATCCAATTCGGCACACCCCTCACACGTTTCGTGGCCCCAGCCCGCATGCGTCAGCCACACCCATTCGGCACACCCCTCACACGTTTCGTGGCCCCATAGGGAGCTCCACCGAAGGCCCCAGTGCCACCGCTCGCATGCGTCCCGCACACCCATTTCGGCACCTCCACCAAACACAGCGTTTCGTGGCCCCACAGGGACCTCCACCGAAGGCCCCAGTGGTGCCGCCCGCATGCGTCACCCCCACCCCAGCACAGCATTTCGTGGCCCCACAGGGAGCTCCACCGAAGGCCCCAGTGGCGCCGCCCGCATGCGCCACCCCCACCCAGCACAGCGTATCGTGGCCCCACAGGGAGCTCCACCGACGGCCCCAGTGGTGCCGCCCGCATGCGTCACCCCCGCCCAGTACAGCGTTTCGTGGCCCCACAGGGAGCTCCACCGAAGGCCCCAGTGGTGCCGCCCGCACGCGTCACCCCCACCCAGCACAGCGTTTCGTGGCCCCATAGGGAGCTCCACCGAAAGCGGCACCCGCAATGCGATATTCACAACTGCACATGGTTGGGTCCTTCGCCAGGATATTTTTTTTTGGGGGGGGGCGCGCCTCTCCTCCGGGAAATTACGCAAAACACTCTTGGCAACGCCCGCTCCAGCACCCCGATCAGCGCGTGGGAGAAGGACCAGCAGAGGCATTTGCTGTTTGCTCTGGCGCTGTACACCGAGAGGCTGGGTGTGAAGCCGCTGCGTGTCTTCATCGGCCGCAGCACCCCGATCGGCGCGCGCGAGATGGGGCAGTGGCAGCCGGCCCTGTTAGTGGCGACGCGGTCGAGCTGAAGGTGCAGGGGGGCGTCGGCGGCGAGGTGGAGGAGGTCGTGGGGGTGGGCTGTGGTGGAAGGGTTGGCACGGGGGGGGGAGGCCAGGGAGCTGGAGAGGATGTTCGCGCACGGGGGCGTTACGAAGGAGGTGGATTAGGTCAGCGCAAGAGTCCGGGAAGGAGGTGGAGGAGGTCAGGTGAACCTTGGACGCCACGTGCAAAGAGGATCGCAAGGAGGGCGACAAGTTGACAAGGAGGTGGCCATGGATGGGGGCGTCGAGAGGAAGGCGGCCGTCGACGTGGCCGCGGGGGCCCAGTCCGCGGGCGTCGCTGTCGGGTCCCGCGACTACGGCCTCGCAGTGCTGACGTCCAGCAATGCCGCGGACCAGGGGGGGGCTCCGATCTTCTCTTGGGGCCCAGCTAACTTTGCGGCGATCGGCAGCGCGGAGGTCCAGGAGAAAGGCGACGATGTCGGGCAGCGCGTTCCCCACTCCGCGCACACCAATCCTGACGAAGTTCCACATGATCCTAATTTTCCCTTGTGGTTCTCACCAATCTCTGGTCGAGGCGGGGTGTGCGGAAACCCTTGGGGAACAAGGGCGGCAAACCCTAGACCCACCGATGCCTTTTCTTTCCTTTCCTTTCCTGTCCTGTCCTTTCCTTTCCTTACCTTTCCTTTCCTTTCTTTTCCTTTCCTTTCTTTTCCTTTCCTTTCCTTTCCTTTTCTTTCCTTTCCTTTTTCTTTCCTTTCCTTTCCTTTCCTTTCCTTTCCTTTCCTTTCCTTTCCTTTCCGTTCCGTTCCTTTCCTTACTTTTCCTTTTCATTTTCATTTTCATTTTCCTTTCCATTTTCCTTTCCTTTCCTTTCCTTTCTTTTCCTTTCCATTTTCATTTACCTTTATTTTCCCATCCTTTCCTTTCCTTCCCTTCCCTTTCCTTTCCTTTTCATTTTCATTTTTCTTTCTTTTCCCAGCCTTTCCTTTCCTTTCCTTCCCTTCCCTTTTCCTTTCCTTTCCTTTCCTTTCCTTTCCTTTCCTTTCCTTTCCTTTCCTTTCCTTTCCTTCTCCTAGTCCTTTCCCTTCTCCCTTTTCCCTTTTCCCTTCTCCCTTCCCTTCCCTTCCCTTTCCTTTCCGTTCCGTTCCTTTCCTTTCCTTTCCTTTCCTTTCCTTTCCTTTCCTTTCCTTTCCCTTTCTTTCCGTTCCTTTGCGTTGCTTTGCTTTGCTTTCCTTTCATTTCCGTTCCGTTCTGTTCCGTTCCGTTCTTTGTTTTCTCTCCTTCGTTTTTCTTTCTTTTCTTTTCCTTTCCTTTCCTTTCCTTTCCTTTCCTTTCCTTTCCTTTCCTTTCCTTTCCTTTCCTTTCCTTTCCTTCTCTTCCTTTCCTTTCCTTTCATTTCCTTTCCTTTCCTTTCCTTTCCCTGACTTTCCTTTCCTTTCCTTTCCTTTCCGTTCCTTTCCTTTCCTTTCCTTTCCTTTCCTTTCCTTTCCTTTCCATTTTCATTTTTCTTTCTTTTCCCATCCTTTCCTTTTCTTACCGTACCTTTCCTTTCCTTTCCTTTCCTTTC